GCTAGGGGCGTTAATTAAGCCAAACGGCATTACCAACCATTCGTAAGGCCCATGCTTTGTCTTAAAGGCTGTTTTCCATTCGTCCCCCTCTTTCATCCTTATTTGGTGATAGCCACTTTTCAAATCTATCTTAGAAAAAAAAAACAAGAACCATGAAGTTCATCAAGCATATCATCCAAACGGGGAATGGGGTGTCTGTATTTTACTGTGATATTGTTGATTGCACGCACATACGCCAAGTGCCGTCCTTCTTTGGCACGAGTAAGACCGGGACTGCGCAAGGACTCATACTCTCCCGTATATGTCCTTTCTCCATCAGCTCTCCGACCTGCCTCTGTAGTTCCATCGTTTCAACAGGGTTTATTCGATACACGGGTCGGTTTGGCAAGGACACACCAGGAACAAAATCGATCTGATGTTCTATTCCGCGGATGGGAGGCAAATCACTTGGGCTTTCTTCTGGAACGACGTCCTTGTATTCCGGAAAAAGAGGCAAAAAGCTGCTCGGAAGATCCGGTTTATGATCAGTAAGGCTAGCCAAAGCATTTTTAAACATTAACAAAACAAAGGATTGTCTCGTGAGCACGGCGTGCTTAAGTTCACTTGGCCTCACCAAAAGAGTTTCTTTTCTCAAGGGTAAATTCTCTAAGGCCGTTTATGGGGTTTTTCTCAGACTCTCAGAATTAATGGAAGTGTTTAGAAGGTCACTCACAATGCTTTTTCCTTTGTGGCTTTGCTCGAGTTTGATCTGGTCTAGGTAGACCTCTTGCGGAGACAAAGGCGCTAGGGTGATCTTGCGGCCTTGGTGTTCGAACATGTGTTTGTTGGAGAAGCCATCGTGAATGGCCTTGCGGTCATACTGCCAAGGTCGGCCCAATAGGATATGACCGGCTTCCATCGGCAACACATCACACATGATCTCATCCTCATACCGTCCGATAGATAATAGAACCGAGACCTGCTTGGTGACCTTCAGTTGCCTTTGGTTGTTTAGCCACCTGAGACTATAAGGTTCCGGGTGCTTGTGCGTCTCCAGGCCAAGTTTCTCCACCATTGTAGTACTTGCCACATTCGTACAGCTGCCTCCATCGATGATCAGGATGCAGACCTTACCTTTTACCAAGCACCGGGTATGAAATAGGTTCTCGCGCTGATCTTCTTCTCTCACGGGTTTCTGAGCTAGTAGGACTCTCCGGGCAACGAGCAATTCACTTTCTGCTGCTCGTTCCTCATCCTCCTCGTTGTCATAAATCGGTCAAGTATCCTCTCCATCGGACACGATTTCACCTGAGTCAAGAAGCAACATGGTTCGTTGGTTTGGACATTTATTAGCATAATGACCTTTACCTCGACACTTAAAACATTCAATGTCGCGGTGTCTAGTCGGTGTAGCCTTGACTTTTCTTTTGAAGTCGGGTGCAGAAGAGCTGGGTTTGGATTCCGTCTTGGGCTTAGCGTCGGATCGAGATGGATATCCCTGCTTATTTGTAGGTCGCGAACTGGAACCATATGCGGGTCGGTTGGTGCTTTTGCGTTTCAGCTGCTGTTCCACTAGTACCGCCTTGTGGTACATCTCACCAATGTCCAGATAGTCCTGCAGTTCCATACGGTCTAGTATATCACGGTTTAGACCACTCAGGAACCGGGCCATCATCGCATCCTCCGGTTCTACCGTATCGGCTTTCAGCATTAGCCGATCCATCTCTTGGTAATGACTTCCAACCGTTCCATCCTTGGGTTCAGCCACTCCATTAACTCGGTTAGTTGGGTGAATTTAGCGTTCATGGTGTCTGTTGGTTTGACCCACCGGATATGGTTGTCGTCACGTTCCGTGTAGAAGAAATATTCGTCTCCGGTACAGTCAGAAGACATATAGGTACCTCGCAAAACGAACAAGCAAGTTAGCAAAAATTTTCTCGCAAAGTGTTTCACTCGGTGTTTCACTCAACTCTCTTAAGGATCTCACAAACACTCAAGAGACTCTCCTCGGTTCTAAGGGAACTAAATCGAAAACTCAATGTAGATCTCTAAACCAAATCAGAATATCAAGCGATTATGAAGAAGAAAAGAGAAGATAGATAGAAAAGATTTTTGGTTTCAACAGATCTCTTTTTTTTTTCTTTTTTTTTTGACTTTCGTTTTTTTTTTAAATAGATCTGGAATTACAAAAGAAAGAAAGGATAAGACAGAATTTGAAAAGACAAAAAGATAGATAATACTGCTTTCTTCAAGTGCGTGGCTCTGATACCACTTGATACGAACTCCCAAAGGACGGCACACACTTGGTCCGTATCGTATGGATAGATCCTTGACTCCAACTGGATCTCGGAGCAGATGCTAAGGCGTGAAAATAAATCCCAAAAATCTTTAGGCCCAAACTCGCGGAGAACAACTTGGAACAAGGGGGTGGAACAAAGAAAAAGAGATCGCCGGTAAAAGGATGTTAGGGCGTGATAAATGAATTCCTGAAATTCCCTAAGCCCCGATTACTACTAACGGAAACTTAAACTTTGCATGCGAAGGCTGCGTCAAGTTCTATGGATTGAACTTGATAAACCGAAAATGATTCAAGAGGCTAACCACCTAAGGAATCGAAAATTTCAAAGAGAACAAAGGAGAAAATCTCAGATTTATTTGATAAGTGAATGGCAAAAATGAGAAGGGGTACAAGCCTTTATATAGCAGGCGGAGTAGTCCAAGAGACAAACTCAAAAATGACAGAAAAATTAATGAAGTCTTTGACTGAAATAAATAAACTAAGGACTGACTCTTCGGCTGGCCTTGATTGACTCTTGGATTGCCAAGCCGAAAATGACTCTTGAACTACCGAGCCATGAACCAGACCGCAAACGAACCTGGGTCGAGAGATGGGCAATGGACTTAACTTCGTTAATTAAAACCCCACCCGGTAAACCCGTTGAGAAAAACCCAGATGTAAGGAAAAAGAGTATTAAGCCATCACCCAGACCAGATTAGTTACAGCCAGCATTCATGAGCACGGTCACGATCTTGGGTGATGCTGGGTCGCTTGGTCCGATCTTGATCCCGTTAAATACAGCATGAACCGCCCCTGCCAGCTTCTTAGCTCTGGATCGCGTCATGGGTCCATCCGGTACGGCCAAGTGTGCTTCCGGAACCTTAATTTCTTTGTCTGTGTCGTCCTCCGGATCCATGATCGTATCAGAAATATATTTGCATATGTGACAAAAATTTAGATGTTTATAAATTATAATTATTATTTATTTGAAATTCTATGTGAAAAACATTTAAATCAAGTAACTTGAACTTGTATAAGTAGCATATAGTTTTTTATAAATAATAAACTAAATTTGTAATTAAAATAGTGATAATAGAGATTTTAATATCGTGTTGATTTATTTTTTTGTTAATGGAGATTTTTTTTAAATTTATTTTCTTAACCATAATATTAGAATTTGGAATTTTTTTAATTATTTTGATATATACGAATAAATTAAATTTTTGAATGCTGATGTGGTTGCGTTGAAAATAATATAACCTAACTGTTATTAATAATAGAATAATTTAAATTAACAATTTTTTCTATATTTTTTTATATTAACAATGTTATTTAATAATTTAGAAACTTTTTAATTTTAGTTACTGATGTGGATTAACAAAATTGACCTTTTAAATCTTATTTGGATGTCTTCAGAGACATATAGCTTCAAATTTTATTTTATAAATATATTTTTGTTACCAATGTAGTTTTAAAACTTAAAATATTTTTTTTTTAATTTTAAATATTGTTGGAACTAACAGAATTAAACTTTTAAATTATATGTGGACACTTTTAGAGGTATATAGATTCAACTTTAATTAATAATAGATTTAGAAATTAAATCTGGAAGATCCCACATAAGGCATGTTGCGGCAAGTGATTTTGGTTTTTTTTCCTTGTTTTGAGGCTTATTGAATGTATTCGAATGTTGCTTGGTTCAGCTAATTGTTACATTTGTGGTTCAGGTTGAATTGTTAAAACCTCGTCAGAATCCATATTATTCCAAAGTTCTTCGTCGGATACCTCAGTCTCCTTCGTCTTAATGACAGAATCTCTTTCTCTATTTTTAGTGATTTGTTTTTTATAAGTGTCGGTATCATTCATTTAACATGTTTTTTTGGATTGCTTAAAATTTATCATTCTTCTCAAATCTGGTGGCCAAGTTTTGAAAATTTTACGGACTCTTTTTAAATATTAAAACGACTTGTAGTGGCTTTTTATATTTTTCTCAACATTTTTTTATAGAGCTAATAATTAAACATATAGTTTAGTCAAATTGGTTATTTTACGTTGTAATGATTAATTCTTTAGTGAAACCTAACTCTATTTGTTTTTTTTTTTTTGCTTTTTTGAATTAAAATTATTGCACACACATTAGAAAAAAACTTAAAATTTATTATAGTTATGTGACAAAAATTTGGATGCTAATGTAAGAATCTCTAAATATGTAAGATTTTATTTGTTCTTTGTTATTTATATAATTGAAACATCTAACTTAATTTTAAAATTTTCCTATTTTAATATCATTTTTTTATCTTAAATAGTAAAATAATTAGTAAACTTATTTTATGGATATTGAAATATAGAATTTGGAAACTTTCGAATTTTTAATGTTGAGGTCGACCAATAAATAATTTATACATAATTTTTTTATTCAGCAATAATATTAGAATTTGTAAATTTTTCTAATTTTGTTATTCAGCAATAATAATAAAATTTGTAAATTTTTTTTTTACTTTTTAGAGTTTATATGAACCAATAAAATTATACTTTTAAATTTTTTGTGGACATTCTGAAAAATATTTAGCTTCAACTTTTATTTATATAAGATTAGATGATGATTTAATATTATGAACACATGATTCTAAATGATTTGTTTAATAGACGTCAAAAAAAAATAGACCAATAAAATAGGCCCAAAATATCTTAAGACCCAGGCCCAAAATATGTCTTACTCCTCGTGTAGGCAATCTGCGAATTCGCCGCGACTTACATAACCTGAAACCCAACTTACCTCGCCGGCGGCGAAAGCACTGACCTCACGCCTGAACCCTAAAGTCGACCGCCTGGAAAATCTCGCGCCTTTTGCCTTGACAGGTTTAGGCGATCTTCCCTTCGCCGGAGATCGCCTTGGTCGCGCTTTGAATTTCAACTTCGCAGTGAAGCAGCTGATTCCAGGAACCAATGATGTCCTTTGAAATGAATGACCGAAAAAGTACGTTCTACATTGTGATTTTCCTCTGAATAATTCGTGATACTTAGTTTTTATTGCTCATCCCAGTATTCAACGGATTTAGATTCCAATTTTAGTCTTCGATTACGCGTTCTTGAGCGAGTGGATCATTATTTGTTATTGTTGGAACCCATTTGTTAATCGTTTTTTTATGTGCGCTTTGAATCAGAAATTGGGTTAGGGCTTACAGGATTTGGCGTATTTTTCTCGTTTTTGGGGATGATCTTGATGTTTGATAAGGGTTTACTTGCCATGGGAAATGTAAGTACCTCATAAAAGTGTCTTCTTTGACTTATGCTATTCTTACTTGTACTCGGAACTGTGTTACTTGAGCTCTCTTTTTCCTTTTCTGGTCTTGTTTAGATTCTTTTCGTCTCTGGAGTTAGTTTAACCATTGGCCTCAAGTCTACAATGCAGTTTTTCATGAAGCGTCAAAACTATAAGGTTTTGTTTGGTTTCCAATTGTTTTTTTCACTTCCTCGAGTCAATTATCTCTGTCTCAGTGTTTCTTTTATATTCACTCAGGGAACCATTTCTTTTGGGGCTGGCTTCTTCTTTGTAGTGATTGGATGGCCTATACTTGGAATGATGCTCGAGACCTATGGCTTCTTTGTACTCTTCAGGTTCGTTTTGCTTCTTCTTCTTCTTCCTTATGGATGTGGAAACGTAGACAAATTACTTACTAACAACGTTTTCTAATTTCAGTGGCTTCTGGCCAACCTTGGCAGTTTTTGCTCAAAAGATACCTGTTCTCAGTTGGATCATTCAGCAACCATATATAAGATCGGTATGGGACTGTTCAATTCAAAAGAAAACTCATTTATTGTCTCAAAAAGTCAGAACATGAAAGATTTACACATTATCGATAACAAATGAGTCCATATTAGCTGCTCAAGCTAGGTGAGAATGATGCATAACTCTGATACCACATACATATAACTCATATAATTTTCCAGTTTCACCTTTCTAAATTACAGTGGATAATTCTCTCTTTGATCTTGGGTTTCCAGGCCTAGCGTTTTTTTTCCATTAACTTTAACTAATACTCTGTTGCATAATGAGTGATTGGCTCGTGTTTTGTTTATGTGATGCGCAGTTCTTTGACAAGTACCGAGGCAAGCGTGTGCCCGTCTAGTCCCTTGCCTAACTCAGAGAGAGAATTCACTCACCTGAGGTAGATGCAGCCGAACAAGCAATTGAAATCTTTCGAAGAAGAAGTTGGTATGCTTGTCGACAACTGTAAAAAACTAAACCCATAGGAGGAGAAAGAAATTAGCATTGGAGAAAAACATACCACTTGAAGCTGTGTGTGTCTTCTTTGTAGTTGAAGATAAACTCAGTGAGATAAACCTCTTGATGGGTTTGTAATCATTTTGGATTAGACTCATTAGAACAATTGATCATTTTGAATACATAAAAAGCTCAACACAGTAATGAGTTTGTGAATATTGTTCCCTCAAAATCATTATCTCATTTCTTCCTCTCAAAATGGTAAAAATTTCACTCATTTTCTGATGATTTTGTTCAAAATGATGTACACTACTTAAAAAAAAATCAACACGGAGATTATAAGGTGGTTTGTATTTCATTCTAGAGATTCATTCTTACTTAGGCAGAGATTAAGATGTTCAAAACTGTTGTGATGCTTAAGGCAAACCTCAAAAATGTGATTCAACCAATCGTATTGTCCAAAACTTACATAATTAGGTTTGTTACACTTGACAAAGACATTGGCTTTGTATTTTACTTGGTTTGGCCATCAAACTCATACAAAATCAAAGGAACAAAAAAACCAAAAAGCAGAGAGATACTTTACTTAGACAATGTCTTATAACATCCATTTTCGCACATTTACGTTGCAGAAAGATGCCATAACTTTTGCAAATTGACTGACTATAGTGGAGGATAGAAATAAGAAGAGACTGAAAAGCCGAGGAAGAGCAAGCCTCCTACAGTTGCGACGGTGCGTTGTGAGATCCTTGAAGCCAACATGCTTCCTCCAACAACCGCCAGTGATGTACAAATCGTGTGTCCTACTGATGCACCTATGGCTACTCCTATCGCGTTCTTGTGTGTAGCCAACTTCGCAGGAGACAATAAAATGGATTGTTTCAATCAGACAATATCAATCTCAGGGATATAAGTCCAAAGACACAGTCCAGGTGTATTGTAAAGAAAATTAGAAACTGAGAGATGAAAAGGACTTTTCTCTTACAGCTATGGTAGCAATCTGGCTACGGTCTCCCCATTCGGCGAGAAAGGTTAAGATAAAAGACTGCACCAAAGATACCAGAGAAGGGTCAACGTCATCTTTGAGAAAGAACAAGAATTGAATTGTATAAGGAAAAGTAGAATAATATTCCCAATATAAATCAACAAAAGTTAACACATTTGAGGTTAAATCACCGGTAAGCATAAAGTTAAGACATTTTTAGCTGTAAACAACACAATCGAAAGCATCAATAAGCGAAGAATACCTCTAGAAATATTGGAGTACAAAATCTTGAGAATAAGCGACGGAAAGGTGTTTTCCCTTGGCCTGACTCAAGCTTCTCTTCAACCTTTTACAACAGATAATGGGAAGTCAGACAACGTCATAGTCCAAAATAAGGTAATTTGTTCAAAATGAGTCCAGGATCAGAGAAAGGAGAAGTATAGAAAATTTTGAATGTGAAAAACTAATCAAAACGTCAAGCAAAATCTCTTCAACAACAGGTAGCTTGAGAACCACATACTTCCTCCATTTCCTTCTTCTGATGTGACTTTGAATCACTAGACCTCCAAGCAATGTAGAGTAGTCGCAAACCGAAAAATGCATAGAGAACTGCATGTTCAAAGATGTAAGATCGTTCAAGTGAGACTCGGATTAGAAAAAAAAAATGAAGGAGCAACCTAAATTTACAATCAAATGCAAAAACGCCAATGATAGATAATACAGAAAATATATACAACAACATAAAATTCTTACAAACACGAAGAAATCAGTTTTGATGGCTACCTTTCTGTTAAACCATTCAGAATCATTTCATTTTAGATACCAAGGTATACAATACAGTTCAAGTAAACTGGAGTAGCTAATTATGATCAAACACGCACCAGAAGATGATACTATATTATGAGCAAAACTCAAAAAAAATTTTAGCACACTACAGGTTGCATAGCACTCTCAAGATTCTTAAGCCAACAAAATCTTTGAAGACAGAAAAAATAAAATTTTCACAGTGGCACACATATGAGAGAACAATATACCTGTAGCTGCACTGTTGGTGTGCTTCCTCGATATCAAATTTGGCACTATCCTACCAAGTCCAGTGGAAAGTATCTAAATAGAATTCATGAGAATCGTAACAATTAGACGTACCCTTTTCTGTGGTACTAAGAAATATGATAAACTAATTTGAATTAGAGCAAAGATGTTCAAGTAATTTTTGCACTTACAGTCATAACAAACAAAGCTGAAAGTGCACCCGACAAAACAGTAGCTTTCGGGTGTCGCATAGCCATCAATGCAGCTATTATAAACGTCTCATCGCCAATCTGACATACAACAAAAGATTACACTCTAACTTGAACACCAACTAAAACTTTAACTCTGTTCCACTAAGAATAACTTAGGCGTCTTAAATCAAATCTAGCACAGATAGCAAATCAAATTAACCCGAAAAAAGCAACACGAACCTCGGTCACAAGAATCATGGAGAAACTCGAAAACAATGCGTCAAATACACCAGGGCCAGTTGATTCGAGGTTCAAACCAAGAGCACCAAGTTCTTCACTAGCAGCATCAATTCCAATTTTTTCAGTTCCAATCTACAAATCAAATTCAAATAAAGAATCCAGATTCCACATCTAAAAAGAGATTCCAATTCGAAAAAAAAAAGCAAAAAGCAAAAAGCAAAAAGCAGATCGAGCTTACCATTCCACGACGGCCTAGCTCTTTACGAAATACTTCTGATTCCTGCTTCTCATTATCAACCCCAGAATCCTAGTAAAGGAGCAAAAATCGTTTATACATATAATCCGAATCAATTCGAAAAGCATTTGAAAAGACGCCTCCATGGAGGTCAAATAGTATTTACCTGTGCTGAGATGGCGGAAACGAAGATGAAGAAGAAGATGGTGGAGACGAGAAGAAGGCGGGTGATGAAACCCGTAGGGTTTGCTTTGAAACCCATGAGTGATACGAGGGTACAGATCTGTGATTTTGACGAGGAAGAAGATGATGAAATCCGTTTCAATTTCTTGCGAAAAGGAGCAAATCTGAGAAAGAAAAAAATGAGACGTTGAGATCTGAGAAAATGAAGATCCTTACGATTTTAGAGAAGCATTGGGAGAAACGCTAAGTGAATGAGAATGATCCTTGCGATGCTGCTGAGAAACAGAGAGATCTGTGTGCTATTTGAAAATTGTAAATGGAATTAATCAAAAAATATTCACACGGTTTGACAAAATAAAACATAGATAACAACAAGGTTTATTTTTTTCTTATAAACCATATTAACTTTTATATTTTTATATATTTAACAACAAGATAACAAGAAGGTTTCTTTTATAGATAACAACACGGTTTTATATATATATATATATATATATATATATATTATTTTTTTAAGACAAATAATTTTATTAATACAATTACAAAGTCAATATACCAAATTTTTGTAAAAAAATTAAATTTTAATTCAATTAGTTTAGATTTTTTCATATATATTTAGGATTAATTATCAAATTACAAAAATCAGTTGTTATTTTTTTATAAAATAATAAATTTAAATATCTAAATTTCAATAATATTTTCATAATAATGATGAAGATAATAAACGATATATTATTATATATTTTTTATAATCAATTATTTTAAAATTAAAAAATTAAAAAAATTAAAAAATAAAATATATATATTTTACAATAATATAAACAGATAAGATAAAATTACGTTTTTATATTTATAGTTTTTTTATTAATCGAATGGTAGGATTAAAATTATGTTTTTGTAATCATAATCAAATTTATTAGAAAAAATAAACTTAAAAAAAAATTTATCTAAACACAAAAATAAATTATATCATTTATTAAAAACTATTATATCTATAAAAATGTAAATTACAATATAAAATTAAATAAAAAACAATTTTTTGTGCGTCGTCATTAGAATTTTGTTTTTCTTATAAATTATAACTTTTATATTTTATTTTTTATATATATTTTTATTTATTTATAATTTTATGATAAATAATTTATTAATATCAATACGATTAGATAGTCAATATACAAAATTTTTGAAAAATAAATTATTACATATGCAGATATATGTGTTATATGTTAAAAATAAATGAAAAGTGAATTTGACGATCATTTCTGAAGTGAAGTTTTACTTGTTAAGAGATGATTAAATCTATTATTTTCTTTGTATTTTCTCTTTTAAACCATAACTTATTTATATAGCGGGAAGATACAATTTCTCCTCTCTCTCTAATTCTAGTAAGAGAAAGTTCTCTTGAGTCTCTTCGAAAAATTTTCTTTGTCGTTTCAACTTTTTTTGGTCGGTGACCCGCGTTAATCCAATGTCAGTACTGTACTATATATATTTCCTCAGTTGAATAACTTTGTGTATATCTCTTTCCATTTATCGGATTTGTAACTCCAACTTGTTCGATTCTAGTTTTTATAGTTTTTTAAAAACTTCTCCTTTTGCATGTTTCAATTGGCTCTTCGATTGATTTCGAAGTAGTCAAATTCTGAGAGATTTGTCGGGCTCTTTCCCACCGGCGCTTGTTATCTCTTTCACGAAGTGTAAATCCCTGATCTCTCTAGATAGTTAAATCGAGCGAGGTTATTTCATGGAGGTTTTAACAAGGTGATGCAGTCAAATCAGAGAGGAGTATGAAGATCTAGAGTTCTTGTCGTGTTTTGGTGGCTCTCCAGAGAATATTTCGGCTTCGGTTCACTGAAGTTTCTTTTCGGTGAATCAAACTTTCGCTCTTCTCGATCTCTTCTGACGAATCTGCAAAAGGAAACCTGGTGCATCATGGCGTAACTTGAGGAGTCTTAACGAAGATGACAAAGTTTGTGTCTTACTTAATTGGTGGTGGAAGCTCACGGCGGTGATGACGTATGTTTAAGACTTATTGTATGAAGACCACGTGGGGTTTCTTGCTCTTGCTTCCGTTTAGGTACATGTGTCCTGTATTTATGCTTATCGTTACTGTGGGAGCTGGATTTCTCACATCCGACAGCAAAAACATCCGACAGATTAATAATCGGCCCAAATGCAGGATTCAGCCTATCAAACTATTCGCGGACCAACTAAGTGTCGTCTCGCACGTACGATATGGCGAGCTCCAAGCTCTAAGATAACCGGTCAAATTCAAAGATATTCCATTAGCAGCTCGGGGTTGTTGCGAAAATCACGAAAAATGGTGTAACACGAAGTGGCTCGAGATACGCGGCGGCAGTTCAAATCTCGAAGAGAAGTATAAAAGGAGCTTGAGTCACACAAAATCAATAACTTTTCCCTTCCGAAAAAATCCTAGCAAAAACAATTATTTTTTTGTACTCTTTCTCTTCGAGAAATCATGTATTCATCCTCAATATACTAATATAAATCCAATTTCTTCAATATATTTTTATTCTCGATCAATTCAAAGAAAAATCTGGCATATCGTTATAAATCTCTAAGTCAAAACTATACACAAATTTTTTAGTGTGGAATTTAGCAACCATATTTATGGCTGCGTGTAATTCCATTGGGCTTGATGTTGGACTATTAATGTACTGTTTGCCCTTTGGGCTTTATTGAAAGTATGTTGAGAAAAAAAAAAATATATATATATATATATACAGTGAAGTGTTTTGTATAATATGTTATATGAGAAAGAGAGAGACGAAAGAGATGTTGAGTAGAGACGAGATTAAGGCTCTAATTGGTATTGACTATTTCCGGTAGGCTGTAGGCTTTTATTTTAGATTTTACTATAAAAATTTTGACCTTAAAAATATGACTATGAGCTTGCTTGGGGTTAGACTTTTAAGACTTTTAATCCATTTAACAGCCTTCAAAACTCTTTTTTACCAAGCATGCTTTTCTAATTTTATTAAGTCAAAAGTCTCAAAAGCCACATTTTTTATTTTTTGGTCATAGTTTCTAAAAGCTAGCGTAAGATAAGCTTTTACAAAATAAAAGTGAAAAAAACATATATTTATTTTTTTCTCTCTCTTTTCTTCCTTTATTCAAATCAATTTATAAATTTCTATATAATTTATTCATAATAAAATTTAATTGATTAATTATAATCTTTTCTGTTTTTTTTAGATCCAATTTATATAACTTCTTTTTACCATATTGTTTTTTAGAAATATCTAAAAATCTTTGTTAAATATAGGGTAAAGTAATTTAAAAAAAAAAATTTGTCATTTTTAAAATAATAAATAATTTTTACAGCTAAAAGTTTTTAAAGTCAACAGTCATAAGTAAAAACCAACACCAAAATCAAGCAAGCCCTATGGCTTTAAAGAAAAGCTAGAATTGTATGTTTTAAAAAAAAACTGTCGATTTCAAGACTACAAAAAATAGGTTGTGAGTGCTTTTAGAAGCAGTTTTTAGACTGTAATGAATTTTAATTAATAAAAGTCTGATTGGTAAAAGACTTTATTTTTTCAAAGCCTCTATAGTTTTTAAAGTTGATTTACCAATCAGAGGATGATAGAGATTCGTATTATTCATTATTTTTTACACACCTTTCACAATAGAGGAATAAACTCGTGATAATATTTAATTTGTTTTCGATTTATTTTAAAGAAAAAAAAGAAAAAAAAAGTGGTCAAATACTTGGGGGTCCTTAGTAAAGTTTCATATTTTACGAACCCAACCACCAAGATCCACACCAAGTCTGTCATATCGGGTTGATTCCGAATAAATCGGGTCTTCGGTAAAATTGTGGTAAGTCAAACCCTTAAAAGCAATTATACTTGTAAAAAAATAAAAAATAAAAATTTCAAATTTCAAAATCGTCATCTTGTCGTCGTCGTCTTCGTTTAGTATTCTCTGGGACAACTACGAGTGATTTGTTGTTGCCTGTCTTGAATCAACACTAAATCAGGTTCGTTCGTCTTTGTCCTCTGATTTGTCCTCTGATTTGTACTTTCTATTTAGATAACTTTGTAGATTTGAACTCGATTTTATGTGGAATCCAAAATTCGATTTATTTGTTTTATATTCGGTTGGTAACTACAAGATAGGAGTCATGGATGGTATCGAAAGAGTGTTTAGTTATGCTAGACAAGAACTGTACTAAGATTCTGAATCGTCACAGGAGAAAATGGTAGAAGGAGTTGCCGATTTAGAGACGGGTAATAATCAGATAGTGTTGTGGCAGAACACTACTGAAACTACGGAAACTAAGGCTGAGGAGGAGGAGAACCAGCCATTGCCACCCGTGAGAATGTTCTTCGAGCCCAGTCAGTATCATAATGCAATAAAGCTGGGAACAAGATGTTATATCCACAAAGCTGTTGCAAAATTGGAGTCTCTAGACCTTGAACCCCATGAGCTGATATGGTTTACAGAACAACCATAGTTCAAGCACTTTTGGCACATGCACAGGGCCATGCATGAGGACACAACACACAAGATGATGGGAATGTGGTTACTTCTTCTTCGGACAGCAAACAAAAATAAGAAGAGGGTGGTTTGTAGTGAATGGCGTACCAATTCGCTATTCCCTTAGAGAGCATGCCCTTTTGTGTGGATTAAACTGTCTACCGTACCCAGAGGACTATGAGAGCATAGGAAGTTTTTTCGTTTAAGAATATATATATTTCCAGGAAACCGTTGATGTCGGGCCTAGGGTTGCGTTTTTTACAAGCCCATTGGTCCTCAAAAAGTTTTAAATTTTAAAACCCTAGTGTCTGCAAGTGCACAGATGTACGTTGTAGGACTTAGGGTGTCGATCCACAGGGAGGATGTCTAATCTGCAAGAAACAACAAATTGAGAAGTAAGCAAAGTCATAAACTAATGGGATTTTTGGGGTTTTTGGTTAAAAATCTTAAGCTAAACCTAATCTAATATTCACAAGAAATATTATAGAATATCTCAAGGATAGTCGACTCAAACTATAGACTCTAAACTCATAGGAGGCGATTTAGACTTCTCCGGTTAACTCTAATCGATGTAAAAGCATTTCCAAATAGCCTTCGGGCGATTTATCTTCATCTGTTTCTGGGTTCTGCATGGAACTAGAATAAACATGTGAGTGATTAACCAACTCTCGCCATCTTAGTCAACTAATCACTCAGATCTGACAATTAACTCTCGCTCTCATGCCAGAAATAAGATCATGCATCAAATATTGAATTCGTCTGCTCACATCTTCTCTACAGGTAGCTTTCGAGTCCTATAGCGATTATGTTCTTCTAAAGCTAGGTATGGATGATCTGATACAGCACTCTCGTGGCTCTGATCGATCCTAGGCTCAGAAAATAGGTCATGAATCTACTCTCATGCAATATGAACAACTTAGAAGAGATGAGATCCAGAATATGGTTTAGAAACTTATAAATCCTAATCGACATATATGCCTATCGAAAACTCTTCAAACAACTTGACTATCTAGGACAGATCTACATGATGCAATGGATGATAAAAGACATGAAAAAAATGCAAAAGATGAAACAGAAAAGTTAATTAGATAGAAAAGAGAAAGAACAATGGATCAGGGGAAGAATCCCCATATCCATCGCCTAACCCTAGAAAAACAAATTTTGGTGGCTCAAAATCTCATTATAAGAGCACACACCCGTTTAGGGCTGCTAAGAAAAGTATTTATAGGTCCTAAGGTCTTCTAGGTCTTATTTAGGGCTTCTCTGAAGAGAAATGGCGAAGTGTGCTTTAATGTTGGGCCTTGTGGCTCGTCATGGATCCACCGGGGGTGAAAGTCTTTCGGGGCAGGCAAAATGCATGTTTGCCGCGGGTGAGAGTCGTCCGGGACAGGTGAATTTGGTCAACTTGTTCTCTATGTATCTTTTGATTGCACCGTTGGATCTTCGTGATGTAAAGTGCTATGGAAAGCTGGTTTTCTCCTCTTTATTGTCTCCAAATTTGAGCTGGATCAGACGGTGAGAAAGTCTTCATTTGAGGCTGAATATCAGGCGGTCTGACTCTTAGCTAAAAATATTGATTTTTTCCAATTTGCCATCATTTTCCCTAAGTTTCTTAAAAAGTGCCTTAAAACTACAAATACATAGAATCTATATATATAAAGATAGCTTTTCTCTCTTCTGGTGCTGCCACCTCAGCAGCCACCTCAGCAGCCACCTCAGCAGCCACCTGTGCAATTATTTTTTTAAAAAACTTTTGGTTTGCCCGGTTTCTCCAATTACGGCAAATGATGAGACACTTTAAATAAATCAAATATCACACTATCAGAAACTGAAATTAAACAAACCATATGAACAACAACAATCACGGAATCACCATCAAAAGGGAATTGCATAAACAGATTTTTCAATAGAAGTGATATTTTCCAGAAAAAAACTCTGCTCAGCTTAACCATAAACGCTGGACTTTCTACCAATCCCAAAAAGGATCCATGAAATCCACGCCAAATTGGAGTCACCAACGGCACACCCAAAAAACCAATTCCAAAGCTGGGAAACCGATCAGCTCCCCAATATGATGACAAATAGAGGTATATCTAAGAAATCATGGGGAGGGGTTAGACCGGCACCGATTATGGAAAAAAGCACCGCAAGAGTGGACAATACTGAAATTAAACGTCACTGAATCATCCAAGGAAGAAAGAGAAGGAGGATGAAAAAAAATGACTCAATTAGAGACCAAAAGAATGGGTATGAACAAAAGGTTAGTCCGACCAAAATTTCAATCACCCTCTTTCAATTGAAGCACCCTCTATCATTAAACCAAAATTCCAACAATAGAAGGGTTTTGCCAACATTTGAGAGAGTTATCGATTAATACCTACAATTATGAAGGGCTAAAAACGGACATAGCTTTGTATAATCAAAATGGGATTTCATGAACATCGAACGAACAAAGAAATATAGCAGGAAAATGAGTCAATATAAAATAATACAAAAAATTAGAGACTAAAAAAAACTTTCACACTAACCATCCAAACCCGATTTCAATATAGACATATTGTACTTCCACTGACTCAAGGCCTTATACAAAATATACTAACGGAGAAAGTGCTTTCACAATTACAAATTAAAAAAACAAAGAAACAAATACTTCAGAAACAAAAATAAATTAACAAGAATAAACATAGCACTTCCATAACATAAACCAAAAAATTATAAAAAAAACCCTGAGTAACACCTTCTATAAGAGACATAAGTGTGATATTATATACCCCTAAGTGTGATATTATATATCAACAATTGGCACCGACTGTGGGGAATTACAGTAATATTTTCAATCTAGCTCGATAAAGAAGAACAAGTTCGGCAATGGCAGACCTAACTGCTTCCGAAACAAGGAATGGCGACAACGATAGCACTCCGAAAAATCCCAACCGAACTGACCCGAACAATACGGAAACTCCAACAAACTCTGGGCAGTTCGACCAAAACGCCATTCTACAGGTAATAACAGCTCAGTTTCAGGAAATAACAAAACAGAACAATGAACGTTTGGACGTCATGGCGGCCCAAATCACAGAACTCAGTCAAACGCAAACTCCATTGTGAGGTCGTAACTTAATTGGCGACCTCAACTCAGAGGAACCCCCAACTGGAACAGTCCGATCTACAACCTTAGGATCTACTGGCAACCCAGCCACTCAATCCACCTTCAATCGCGATGAAGAATTCGAAGCCATGAAGGTCAAACTTCGTGAAATCACCTCACAGATTCACAAAGCAACCAGTGCAGCTCCCGAAATTGATCGCGTTATCCAAGAGGCACAAAAGACGCCATTCACTCCTAGAATCACTAACACTCCTGTTCGGAATCTTGAGAAGTTAAAACTCAAAACTTACGAAGGCGATTCCGACCCAAAGCACTATCTGACATCTTTTGGCATCGTCATGAACCGCTTTCAGTTCCGGACGACAAAAGAAAAAGATGCAGTGAGGTGTCAGTTGTTCGTTGAAAATCTCCAAGGAGTTGCTACCGATTGGTTCACTCGACTTGAAGCGAACTCCATAAACAGTTTCGCCGAACTCTCAACAGCGTTCGTTAAACATTTTTTGATGTTTATCGGGCAGAATACGCGAAATGCCGAACTATGGCGAATGGTTCAGGGAGAAAACGAGAGTCTCCGCGACTTCATCAAACGTTTCAAGTCAGTTGTCGCCCATTGCACGGTCAGCGACGAGGCCGCCCTCGAGTGTTTGCACAAGGCAACTCGGATTAAGTCATCCTTTCACAAAGCGATCAAACACAACCCACCGCTTACACTCGAGGACGCACTCCATCGATCGAACTCATATATTGCAGAGGAGGAAGAGGAGGCCGCCTACGATCAGAGAAAATCTTCACAAAAGCAGGTCGACCCAAAAGAGAGACCTAAAAATGACAATAACGAACCACGTCCGACCTACGACAGAGGATTCGACAATCGACGAAAATTCGCAAGTAACAATGTCAACTCGGCTCAACCACAGCGACCATGGAACAACAAATGGATTCGCGGTAATGACGATCAAGACGAGACATTGTTCTGCGAATTCCACAACCGTAAAGGACACAACACTGAAGAATGCCGACACTTGAAAGATTACCTCCTAAAACAACTCAGAAAAGGATCAATTTCAATGGACGATGTTCGCCGAACTCCTTTCCGACGCAACAATGAAAAGAAAGAGCGACCTAATACAGTCATAAACGAAAGGATCCAAGACACCGCTGGTACAACCAAAACAAATAACCCACAACCAGCCAAACCCGAGCAGCAAAAACGAGGTCGGGAAAACAACGACACAGACACCCATGTACTAAAACCTAGGAAACGAGTCAACTTTATCATGGGCAAACTCGAGATGTGCAACTACTCAGTTCGGGGGATAAAAGTGTATAGTCGACAGGCGTTTACCGCGTCAAAATTCAGCGCAACAACGACGAGCAGACCAGCCATTGCATTCACAGAAGCGGATACAATCAGTCTCCAAATGCCACACAACGATTCTCTGGTAGTCGACCTACTCTTTGACGATGTCGAAGTAAGTCGAGTCTTGATCGACACTGGCAGTTCGGTTAACGTCATCTTCCGAGATACACTCGAGCAGATGGATTTTCCTAAGGAAAAAATTAAAGCGGACATCGAACCGTTAACAGGATTCACGGGCGAGCAAACCATGACAGTCGATACAGTCAAAATACCGATCTACGTTGCGGGTGTTGCAAAAACTGTTAAGTTCTTCATCATGAAGACACCAGCAATCTACAACGCCATCCTCGGAACGCCTTGGCTCCATGCAATGAAGGCAGTAGCTTCTACTTATCATCAGTGCGTCAAATTTCCAACTCCAGGAGGAATTTATACACTTCGTGGAAATCAAGCTACAGCTCGATCATGTTACATTAATGAATGCAAGATCCGAATTGCTAATCAATCGTGTGCCATCAGCGCGAAGTCCGACCCAATAACTCAAAAGCAGAAGCCACCACAAGAAACGGTAGTTCAGGTCAGCATCGACGAGACTTTCCCTGAAAGACAGGTCGGTATAGGCGCCGACCTGGATCCAGAAATCAGGGAAGATATACTTCAGTTCCTCGGCAAGCACGTGACAACCTTCGCATGGTCAATCAGCGATATGCCGGGCATAGATCCAAAGGTGGCACGCCACGAACTCAATATCGACCCTACTTTCAAACCCGTCAAACAAAAAAGACGCAAACTTGGACCTGAAAAGGCACAAGCCGTTAATGACGAAGTCGAGCAACTACTTCAAGCAGGATCTATCACTGAAGTTCGATATCCATATTGGCTTGCCAATCCTGTCGTCGTCAAAAAAAGAACGGGAAATGGAGAATTTGCGTCGATTTCACCGACCTGAATAAAGCTTGTCCCAAAGACGGTTTCCTTTTACCACATATTGATCGGCTGGTAGAGGCGACCGCAGGAAACGAACTTCTTTCGTTTATGGACGCATTCTCCGGTTATAATCAAATACTTATGCATCCAGAAGACCGCGAAAAGACTTCTTTTATCACGGATCGCGGAATTTATTGTTACAAAGTCATGCCGTTTGGGCTAAAGAACATCGGGGCAACCTACCAACGACTTGTTAACCGAATGTTTGCCAGTAAAGTCTCTTCTCGCCAAAGATCATGTTCGACATCTCCAAACCTGTTTCGAGATACTTGACCAGTATGACATGAAGCTAAATCCTACTAAGTGTACATTCGGAGTTACGTCCGGTGAATTTCTCGGTTATATTGTGACTCGGAGAGGGATCGAAGCTAACCCAAAACAGATAACGGCAATCCTCGAGCTTCTATCCCCGACCACGAAGTGCGAAGTCCAAAAGCTTACAGGACGAATTGCTGCACTAAATAGATTCATATCTCGATCAACGGACAAATGCTTACCTTTTTATCAAATCCTTCGTGGCAATAAGCATCTTGAGTGGAACGACGACTGCGAACACGCATTCAAACAATTGAAGGAATACTTGTCTACTCCTCCGATTTTAGCCAAACCAGAGGACGGCGAGACACTGTATTTGTACATCGCAGTATCTGTCTCGGCTGTCAGTAGCGTTCTTGTCAGAGAAGATCGTGGTGAGCAGAAGTCAATTTTCTACACAAGCAAAACACTCAACGACGCGGAATCACGATCCCCGACTTTAGAAAAATTGGCGTTGGCTGTTGTCACCTCGGCATGAAAACTCCGACCTTACTTTCAGTCACACTCCATCACGATGCTCACCGACCAACCGCTCCGCGCTATCTTGCACAGTCCTAGCCAGTCAGGACGTCTTGCAAAGTGGGCTATCGAACTAAGCGAGTACGACATTGAGTACAAAAACCGGACTAGCGCGAAATCACAAGTGTTAGCCGATTTTTTGATTGAACTTTCACCCGAACTCGTCAAAGCCGACTTAACCAAAGCTGAAAAATGGGTACTTCACGTTGATGGATCGTCATCTTACAAAGGATCTGGAATTGGTATTCGGCTTAAAACACCGACCGGCAAACTTTTGGAACAATCCTTTCGTTTAGACTTTCCAGCGTCTAACAATGAAGCCGAATACGAGGCACTTATTGCCGGACTTTGTCTTGCAAAGGAAATCGGCGCTCAACACCTTCATGCCTACTGCGATTCTCAGCTCGTTGCTAGTCAGTTCAGCGGGGAGTATGATACCAAAAATGATCGAATGGAGGCTTACCTACAACTAGCTAAGCAACTCGCAGCAGAGTTCAACACATTCAGCCTTACGAAAATTCCTCGAGGAGATAATGCGCCTGCCGTTGCCTTAGCAGCTCTCGCGTCAAATTCGGATCCACATCTCAAACGAACAATCCCGATTGAAAGTATCTCACGACCTAGTATCGAAACTATGAAGGATTGCAACGTTACTACCCGACGAAGAGATTATGAGGCGGAACCGAATCTTGAACCACCGTTACGACGTCGAAGGTGCACATTAGGTGAAGCAAATCTGCCACTCAATTTTGATGGTCGGATTGACGAAACCGACCTCGTTCAAGAAGACGAAGACGATGCCGAACTTCCTTCCGAAGGTCGTCACGACCCACTAAATGTGGATGAAAACGATGAGGAAGTACCTCCAGATAGGACGCAACAAATTATAGCATACTTAGCGAATTGAGAGCTACCACCGGACAAATGGGAAGCACGCCGACTAAAAATGCGTGTGGCTCGGTATATGATGATCAAGGACGGCCTATTCCGATGGAGCGCAGCAGGACTTCTTCTCATCTGCGTATCCGGCAAAGAAATTAAGGAAATTATGAAGAAGGATGACACTATTTAAAAAAAAAAAGAAGATCGCCATCATTTTTGAAGAAGGGAGCTCAATAAAAAAAGGGGAATGGCGATCATTATCATTGAAGAAAGGAGTTGAGTCTCTGTAAAAAAGAAAAAGGAAAAAGCAAGTGGAAGTGGAGGACAGCTCATTAAAGAAAAAGTAGATCTAATTTTGAAGACAAAAGGCGACGTAGATAAAGGAAAAAGGAGACAACATAATTATATCAAAAAGGAAGTTGGCAAGTTGCAAGGGTCAGCAAATTAAAGAAGAAATGGGCTCCAACGTAGTGGACTTCACAAAATGAGCTCCACTAAGTTTTAAAAGAAAATAGGGCAGTTCGCCCATTTTGGATTGTGATACTAACAATTAAAATCGCCGAACTTAAAGAAAAACGAACTAAAAGAACAAAAAAAAAAGAAATAGAGAGAGAAAATTCTAGAGAGAAGGTAGAGCTTTATACCTTAAAATGGTGGAGAAGAAGTAAAGAAGTGAAAGTGAAGAGGAGTATTTATAAGGGATTGAGGCCCGTTAGAAAGCCCGGACTAAATAAAGTCCGTACAAGGAAGCAGTCAAAAGATGGAGGTTATGCCAAGTGGCAGAAGATAAAAGCGGTAAGAGATTTTTTTCACCAAGTTATTTCCGGTCTAGATCCAAACCGAGTTAAAAGAGTCCATGCATTTCGCCGAACTCATATAAAAAAAACTCCTTCGACGAACTGACGGGGGGACCTACTGTTGGTGGTGTACTTCGCACCCCTGGCTAACTCGGTATTAATCGAGACCGGTCCGGAAAGATCTCGGTTAACGAAGATTGAAATCGAGGTTAAATCGGGTGGGCCGACGTATGACTTTCTAGAAGGTCCATTAAAGTCCAATTTACGAAATTGGCCGACTTTCCCGAATTTCACAGAGGATTTTCGGAAATATCGGGGAAGAAAATGTTAAATTCCACATCGAGAAGGAAAAGGAAAGTTTTTCTGAAACCGCCTTAGAATTCGTATAAATAGGGGAGAGCTTCATTCATTCAAGATATCCGCAAATCAACAGCAGAGAGAGACCTTTAAAGAACTGTGAGATCGTCAACCTTATTTCGAGTTCTCCCTTTGTTAACGAGGTCATCGGAACTACGACGACCTTATCTCAAGTTGTATTTTCCCGAACTATCTTCTAATAAAACGAGACTTTTGATTCGAATATTACTGTTTTACCCCTATGTGTGATATTATATATCAACAGTCCCCCAGATATAAAACTATTAAAAAAAGGAAAAAAACACGTGTATAATATAATAGAGAAGAATTATAATATAAAAACAATGGTAAACGCCCGCGCGTAGCGCGGGTCACACACTAGTTCATAATAAAAGTTCCTAAAACTGATTAAAACATTTGAAAAAGCATTTGAAATCAATGGTAAAAATGGGTACAACTACGGTGTTATCAACGCCCCCAGACTTAGACTTTGTTTGTCCTCAAACAAAACAAGATCAAATCTTGGAAAAATATCACTCAAAAGAAATGAGAGGGAACTCAAAAATATTAGCAACCATACTTCTAGACCTTAATTATGGACAATGCATCGATCAGATCAACTCTAGAAAATTCTCACCAAAATTCAAACATAACTAGTCTGTTAATCCGTCATGCGAAAATCCACACACTCATAACAAACTTCCAATCAACTAACTCTTAACATTTATTAAAGGTTTCATTGATTCTCATCAAAAAGATATTAAACAAGGCATTCAAGGTTAGGTATCAAAAGGCTTTTAGTGGTAAGACTTGATGTGTTTAGGGTTACCTTTTTTCTGGAGAGACAGGATATTATGCAAAACAGCAAGAGAGGATGAAACTATTGATGCCCCCACAGTTTCCGGTCACATTCTCCTTGCTTCAAGATTTCTGATCTCCTTTCTTAAGGTTCTCCTATATTATTTGAAAACAAATTTTAGAAATTTATAGGCGGAAAATAATTTTTTTTACAGATAAATTAATATCATGATAAAGTAAGAAAATATTATGGTCCCGAAATTATTAATTTATAGAGGTTTTAATGTATTTACTTCTCAATATTAATAACATTATGATATATTACATTTTTCTGTACTTTAAAGACAAGAATGTACCATTTTTAGCTTTTAAAGAATCTACCGAAGGTTTTTCCAATTATATCTTTCAATGTGATTGATATAATGAATTTAAAATTGATAGTAAAAATTTAGTATACCACTACACTAAATTAAATTTAAAACAAATATACAAGTTTTCTTCATTCCCACCCGCCTAAAAGGCGGGGAAAGCTCTAGTTCTAAATCCTAAATTAGAATTAGGAAACTCAGACATAATGTCATAACTACTTATCTAGATGAGAATATTCTAAATGCTAGAGCACTAAATTCTACTAACTGGTTAGTGAACTTAGTAGGCAATTCATAAAACACATACAATAAAGGTAATCTAAACCCTAAACTAGAATAAGGGGAATCCAAACATAGTGTCATATACCAAAATGATAATATTTTAAATGATAAAGCACTCAATCCTAGTAAATTATTAGTGACTCCAAACCAATTAATGTACAGTAAGCTATCTAGAAAAGACATGTAAAAAGAAAAACTAAACATAATTAAGTTATAATGCAGAGAACCCAAACATAATACCATAAGTATCTAACAAGACGATAATATTCTAAACGATGATAAGATTAATGAATCCAAATAATTAATGTATAGAAGATTATCTATAAAATACATATGGTAAGAAAAACTTATTCTGAAATTGTATTAGGAGAATGCGATTTATTATCAATTTACAGATTAATGGAGACAAACTTATAGGAAGTTTTCAACGTGGTGCATGGAGATTTGTTTGGCATGTATGCAGACGGAATACTTGTCCGTTTTGGAATTATCGATGTAATAGTTCTCATAAATTTTTAATAGAATAATAGTTCAGTGTTTAAAAAAAAAAAAAACCTAAACACAATGTCTTAAGTACCCAACAAAATGAATGAATTATCCCATGTATTGACTACCGACAATGTTATATTATAAACATATTGGTGTTTATGGAATTGTTTAACCCTGAAAACATGTATTGTTCATATTCTTTTGGCATTATCGGACTTCCCGCTTTAAACCAGTTTTTCTCTATATAAACTCTGAATATTGTCGGTTTTATCAAAATATCTTTTTATTGTTAGTGTTTTCATAAATTTAAAAATAGAACATTACAACATAACACAAAAGAAAATAAGATTAGAAGAAAAAAGATTAAGGTTTAACTTAAATTACCAAAAGCTCTTAAGAACTAAAAGCTGAAAGATAGGAGGATTGACAAAGCTAAACAAAAGGTTAGATTTGAGATTCACGACCACCATCATCTAGACGACCACGACCTTGCAACCATTGCATTTCTTTATTGGCGTACCTCCTCAAGATTTTTAATGAGTTCATCTCCCTTAGAAACTTATGCATTTCCTTGGAATTTGAGTCCTCATAGTCATTGCCACAAGCAACTCCCACAAAAAAATCTCTAACATCTTCATTTGATATGTCCATAAACAATATATTTCCTCCACAACCAAATGATACAAAGAGGGGAGTAATGATATGTATTATGGTTAGGGTTTTTAGTTAATTAGTTTTTGTGTTTTCTTTTATGAATAAGGCGTTTGGTGATTTTCCTTTTCACAATTGGTTTTGATATTTTCCATTTTAATTAGGTTTAAGCTTTTTTTTAGTGTTAAGTTGTATTCCTATATATGGGTCATTTATGATTAATATGAAACTAAGCTTCCAAGAATTAAGCTTAATCTTTAAGAGAGACTAGTGTTAAGAGGAAAATCTTTGCCTAAATCTTCTTATATAATCAAAATTTCATATCAATTTGGCATCAGAGCTGAACGATTCTATGGGAGACATAGATTCGAAACTGAAGTCCCTATGCAATTGGATAACGACATAGTTCAATGAGATGCTTGAGATATTTTGGAACATCTAAGTGGAGCTAGAGAAGACAAGAAATTAACAAGACAGAGACTTCAAAGGAAAACCTATCATTACTCGTAATTTCGAAGCAGCAGCCAAACAACACGCTGGTGTTAGAAATTGCATATAGGAGCCTTAAGTTCATCAACCTGAGCTTGAAAACCAGGAGTCTGACCATACAATGATGTTAAAAGCTGAAGCGCCAGAGGCTGTGCAAAGCAATTGAAGCCTCAAAACCCTAAAGTAGCAGTGATACCAACTGTTGCTTCTTCCATTGAAAGAAGTTACACTTGTGGAAGGAATCGAAGAAGCTGCCAAAGGAATATCCGGAGCTGGAGCTGGAGCTTGAGGACAAGCTCCGAGTCAAAGAGGGAAATAATGATACGAAGAGGGGAGTAATGATACGAGATTATTGCTAGGGTTTTTAGTTAATTAATTGTGTTTTTTTTATGAATATGGGGTTTGGTGATATTCCTTTACACAATTGGTTTTAATGTTTTCTTTTTTAATTAATATGAAAGGAAGCTTCCAAGAAATAAGCTTAATCTCTAATAGAGACTAGTGTTAAGAGGAAATCATTGCCTAAATCTTCTAAAGCTTTCTTATATGAACAAAGGTTCATATCAATTTATGATACGAATAAGGGGAGTAATGATACGAGATGATGGTTTGGGTTTTTAGATAATAGTTTTTGTGTGTTTCTTTTATGAACAAGGGTTGTGAATTTTCTTGTCACAATTGGTTTTCATTTTTCTTTTTTAATTAGGTTTAAGTGTTTTCATTTTAGTGTTAAGTTGTATTCCTATATAAGGATTTTTGATGATTAACATAAAATAAAGCTTCTGAGAATTAATCTTAATCTCTAAGAGAGACTAGGGTTAAGAAGAAAGCTTTGCCTAAATCTTCTAATCTTTCTTATATGTACAAAGGTTCATATCAATTTACACGAAGAGGAGAGAAATGATACGAGATTATAATTAAGGTTTCTAGTTAATTAGTTTTTTTTTGTGTTTTGTTTTATGAATAAGGCTTTTGGTGATTTTCCTTTTCACAATTGGTTTTGATGTTTTTCTTTTTACTTAGTTTTAAGCATTTTCTTTTAGTGTTAAGTTGTATTCCTATATAAGGGTCTTTTTTATTAATATGAAAGGAATTTTCCAAGAATTAAGCTTCCAAGAATTAGGCTTAATCTGTAAGAGAGACTAGGGTTAAGAGAAAAGCTTTGCTTAAATCTTGTAAATCTTTCTTATAAAAGCAAAGGTTATATCATTTTGGTATCATAGCCACACGATTCCATGAGGGACATAGATTCCAAACATAGCTAGAGAACAAGAGAAACCCACAAGCTACGTCGGAGATAGAGACTACAAAGGAAAACCTATCATTGCTTGTAATTTCAAAGCAGCAGCCTAACCACACACTGTGTTAGAAACTGTAGTATCAGAGCCTGAGGTTCATCAACCTGAGCTTCAAAACCAGGAGCCTAACCACACGATGAGGTTAAAAGATGAAGCGCTAGAGACTGAGACAAAGCAACTGAAGCCTCAAAACCCTAAAGTAGCACTGATACCAACTGTTGCTTCTTCCATCAAAAGAAGTTGCATTTTTTGAAGGACTCTAAGAAGCGGCCAAAGGAATATCCGGAATTTAAGCGACAAGCTATGAGTCGAAGAGGGGAGTAATAATACGAGATTATGGTTAAGGTTTTTAGTTAATTAGTTTTTGTGTTTTTTTATGAATAAGGGTTTTGGTGATTTTACTTTTCACAATTGGTTTTGATGTTTTCCTTTTTAATTAGGTTTTAAGTATTTTCCTTTTAGTGTTAAGTTGTATTCCTATATAAGAGTCTTTTATGATTAATTTGAAGCAAGCTTCCAAGAATTATTTTTAATCTCTAAGGGAGACTAGGGTCAAGAGGAAAGCTTTGCCTAAATCTTTTAAATTTTTCTTATATGAACAAATGTTCATATCACCAACCCAAAAATAACAACATGTACAGATGTAGTTCCTATAAAGCGTTGCCAACCCAAAACAACAACATGTACAGATGTAGTTCCTATAAAGCATTGCATTGCAGTCTGAATCCAATGGTTGGATTCATCGTAATAGCCATATCTATGGACACGACACAGATCAGAATTTCTTGATGGGAGAGTTACTTATCAGAGCAAGTGTGTTGTTTGTTTACAAAATCAGAGAATCAAATTCGAGTTTAACCTAAACTTTAGTAGCTAATATGAATAAAGCTTGTTCTTTAGTAGTTCTCTTTTCCCATGTTTATCCTCAAACCGTAGTTCAAACAAGTAACGTGAACAAGAAACAGAGAAGATGGCTCTATCTCTCTCTGTTTGTATTTTAAATGCTAGAAAACTAAAATCTAGTAACTGACGAGTGAGTAGTGAACTTAGTAGGCATTTCATAAAACACATGCAACAAATGTAATCTAAACCCTCTATAAACTGGAATAAGGGGAACCCAAACACTGTGTCATATACCAAGATGATAATATCCTAAACGATAAAGCTCTCAATCCTAGTGAAATATTAGTGAACCCAAACCGATTAATGTACAATAGGCTATCCATAAAAGACTTATGACAAAAGATAAAAATAAACCTTAAATTAAAATAAGGAGAACCCAAGCATAATACCATAAGTATCTAACGAGATGATAATATTCTAAATTTAGGCATCAGAAAACAGCAGGTATTCCTATGAAAGTTTTCATCAGAAAAAGGTAGGAAAGAGGCATTTCCTATGAATTTCCTACAAAAATATTTTGTAGGTTCCGTGCCGTCGGAAATTTAAAATGGTCAGAATTTGGTAGGAAATTTCCTACCAAAATTTTGGTTGGAAACTTTCGTCGGAATTTTGGTCAAAACATCATAAAAAAGTTTCTTCTACTTTCCTTCTATTTTCCTATGAAATCTTCCTTCGGTTTTCCTACAAAATTTTTCCTACCATATCCCTTCAAATATATTCCTTTCATTTTTCGTCCAAATTTCTTCAAAATCTTCCTACTATATTCCTTCCAAAATTTCTATGAAATTTTCTTTTTAACAAAATTGATAGCTAGAATTAATTTGTAATCTAAAAGATTAATAAATTAATTAGAAGTCTGATTAGTAATATATTTAAAGAACATATTTTTACAAAAAAACCAGAAAACATGGTTACACACATAAGCATTTACCCTAATGATCATTCATTCCCAAAAAACTACACAAATGATCATTTGTTCTTAAAACCTACTTCTACTTAAACACATAAGCATCTACCAAATGATCATCTCATCCCAAAAAACTACATGGATGATCATTCTTTCCCAAATACCTATCCATATGATCATCTATTCCTGGGTCTCGTCCTCATCTGCTGTAGGAGAAGTAGCACCTGGTGGATGAATATCTGGAAATTTTTCAAGAAAAAGCTTATTGCACTGCATGAGGTACTCGATCTGGCCATCTTGTGATTTTATTTTTGCGTCTTTCTCGGCTTCAGCTTTCTTCAATGTGTCTATTTCATCCTGCAATGACTCATTCACTGGATTTCTTAACGCAGATGGAATGGATCCGGCATCCAACATTTTACCGAAGCCAAAACGACGTCCACCAACTATAGGAACTTCCTGCAAACAAAAAACACTTACACATGTAATGACCGTAAATGCTGAATGGACGTAAACGGTGAATGGACGTAAATGCTTACAAAAAACACTAACACAAAATGGAAAAGAATAAACAAAGACACAAACTATTCAAAGAAAATAACTCATCATTAAAACCAATACTCAGCAATGGACGTAAATGCTGAATGAAGTAATAGTTAACTTTTTCCAACAAAAGAAGAAAGCAAACCGAATGTGGGAAACGTGAGTGGACATGAAAAAAAAAAAAAACAAAATGCATGAAAAAAAAACAAAATGCATGAAACATATGTAAAATAGGAGACTGGGTAAGGATCAACAAAATACTTACCTCAAGAACAATTGAGTTAATCTCTTTTGCAGTGAGTGGGGTTGGCTGAGCATCTCCTTGACTAAGGCGTTGAGAAGCAACCTCGTCTATCTTCCTTGATGCAATTTGGATAATTTTTTTAGCCTTCTGATCAGCAATAGTACGGGTCTTCTTATTGGTGTGAACGTCTTCAATGAACTTGAGCATATGAGGCTCTTCTCCATCGTTTTCTTCTGTCTGTAATGAATCAAAAATAAACTGTAAAAGCTGAGTAAAACAGTAAACAAAAAAACAATTAGCTGATAGAAATTTACATCCCATCGCCTTTCTATTGTTTTGGCACCGTTATTGTGGATTGCTTGGCCTAATCCGTTTCTCTCACTTTTCCGGTTCCTTGAATTTTTAGCTGCAGTCTTTGCCACTTTTTCCTCAGTCCACATTGCCATGTATCCACCAAAGAGCGACTCCCTTGCCTTCATCCATTCTGGTGCATTCCTTGGTCCTCTTCTTTTCAATACCTTTTTCCATTCATGCAGGTTTGATGAAAATGATGCAGCGGCTTGACTATCATATGCAGTACGAACTAACTCTGTAATGCTTGGGTCCCAATTAAATTCTTGCTGGAAAAGAAAAAATCCATAGTTAGCAACATAATGAAAAAGAAATGTATTAATTAAGATTTACAAAGTTTCATAAATACTCACAGCAAAAGCTCTAAACCATCGATTCCTGATTTCAATAGGGAGGCTACGATAGGTGGGAAATGATTTTGGGAGGTTTGACTTAAGCATCTTCAATACTGCTTGGTGATCTTTCCAGTTTTTTCATGCCTAAACCTGCAGATGATTTTAAAAAGTAGTTAAAAAGGATTTTAAAAAGTCTCTCAAGTTATTAAGAAAAGTATAGAAAACTTAACCAAGTAGCTCCTCCTTCTCGATCTGGATGTAGATACGGAAGGTTTTTTCTACCAGGTGCGAGCAACAAGTCATCCACCGAGCATGAAGTTGGAGAAAAATCTGCGACGGACTCGGACTGGGGAACTGCTCGACTTGTGCTGCTCAAAGGATTCCCTTGATTGTTTTGAGGACGAAGAGGAGTAGAAAACTGTAGGTCGTCTAGAGTCATGCTTGGTGTATAGGAATCATAGCCTTGTCTCTCTTGCGACATGAAGCGTTCAAAATCTTCACGGGTTCGCTCCTGAAAAATCAAAAGAGGAATGTATATATCACACCATCGTAGAAGCACACAGGAATCACTTAGAAATAAAAAACAATTAGAAATCACACAGGAATGTATTTCACACGATGTACAAGCACACAATCACACAATGTACAAGCACACAATCAGTCACATACTTGGACCTTGAATCATAATCTTGGTGCTTAATTCAAATGGGAGCTTTTGACGTAAAAAAAAAAGGACCACAGAAAATAGGATGACAGTATAAGCTTTTAAAAGATAAGCTAAACATAAGAAATAGAAGAGAAAAACAACAAGATAAATCCATTAGATATAAGCAAACATGATAATTTGTAGTAAACATCTTAATTTAAGCAAAACAATAAGCAAACACTGTTAATTAAACCCATTAAATCAAATTGCTAAGAGATTTCACATGCTTATCTAAACTACAGAAGAAAAAGGGTACTGCACCGAGAAATTAGGAATGGGCGGTGATGAGAAGTTTGCCGTCATGTCGCCGGTGTCATTAGGGTTTAGACTTTGGGAATTCCGTTGAGATCTGCTGGTCGACGTATGATTCCGGCGGTGAGTATCCATGGATGAGTGAACGAGAAACGAAAGAGAGCTAGAAGATAGGAGATTTACGGTGCAAGAATAACGATGCGAGGAAGATTCGAAAAAAAAGCAGAAGTGCGATGAGAAGTAAGAAGAAGAAGTGGTGGCCAAAAAAATTAGCAGAGTTAACTAAGTGATTGTAACGAAATTCCTACGAGTTTCCCACGAAAAATAATTGAAAGGAAATTCGTAGGAAATTTCCGACCAAATACCTTCCAACTAAACGGTAAGATGGTCCCTACCACTTTCCTACGAAAGCCTGACAAAATTTCCTTCTATTTATACTAGGAAGGATATTGGTAGGAAATTTCGTTCTTGCTTATTTCTTGTAGGAATTTTCCAACCAATTTCCTACCACTTTAGTATTTCGTCAGAATTTTGTACGAAATTGATAGAAAAATTTTCTTACCAAATATTTCTGTCAGACTTTTGATAGGAATACCTTATGTTTTCTTGTAGTGAAACGATGGAGCTATAAACTCTAGTATAATGAATCCAAACAATTAATGTACAGTAGATTGTCTATAAAAGAAATATGTAAGGAAAAACTAATTCCTAAATTGTATTGGGAGAACCTAAACGCAATGTCTTAAGCACCCAACAAAATAAATTAATCATCCAATGTTTAAACTACCCGACAATGTTACTACAAACATATTCATGTTTATGAAAAAGATTATGAGTTAACCCTGCAAATATGTATTGTTCATATTTCTTCTGGCATTATCGGTGTTCCAGCTTTCAACCAGTTTTTCCCGACATAAACTCTGAATATTGTCGTTATATTTTTTTTTATTGTTAAAGTGTTTTCATTAATATAAAAATAAAACACTACAACACAACACACAAGAAGATAAAGTTAGAGGAAAAGGACTAAGGTTTAACTTAATGTACCTAAAGCTCTTAACAACCAAAAGCTGAAAGATAGGAGGATTGACAAACCTAAACAAAAGGATAGATTTGATGAGATCCACTACTACCATTATCTCAACGACCATGACCTTGCAACCATTGCATTTCTTTATTTCTTTATTGGCATACCTCCTCAAGATTGCAACCATTGCAACCATTGCATTTCTTTATTGGCATACCTCCTCAAGATTTTTAGTGAGTTGCAAAATCATCTCTCTTAAAAACCGCATTTTTATCAAAAAGATCACTGAAAACAACTGGATGAAGTGGAGTATAAATATCAACACTAGCATGAGAGTCAGTATAATAAGGAGATTTCTCACTTATTGAAGAGGAGTAAAGGCTTGTCTCGTATGCTTTAGAGGCAATGACTATAACCTCATTTATCAATTTGAGCAAAAGACCCATTCAGGAGTGCCTGCAACCTTTTTCAAATGAATTTTTTTTCTTTTGTAGTATCTAATATAGTAGGGAGACCTTCCATGGCAGTTGCAATCTTTTGGGGAGAAATCGATGTGGTTGGGAGAGCCTCCGATACAGTGGTAGCGGTAGAGACAATGTCACTAATGACTAGAAGAGTGAGATTGTCCTCTTGAGGATCAGAAGTCAACAGAAGCAATGTCTTGTGTTTCTAGAGTCTCCTGCACTTCAGAGCTTGGCAAATGTTTGAGATCATACAAGCAGAATCACGATGACCAATAATACGATAATGTGAAAAATTGGAGGTAGTCGGAGATAAAATGTCTCTAGAGTAATAATATCCCCTTTATGATCCGTCTCCAGTTCAATAAGACTGGATACTGGCATGGATAGATTAATTTTAACTTGAACTTCTAAAAAAACTAGCCTCAGTAGTCAAACCGCGAGGAACGTTGCTGAATCTAACCCAAATTGGAATAGCTTCCAAATTAGGCTTTGAGTAGGAGAATTTGTGCGGCCATTCTTGGGCAATGAAAGTATCACACCCAATATACCAATGTTGAACTTCAAGTCTTCTCTGTCTCATTACTTTCGATTGATTTCAAGCTCAAACATTCGTCTCATTATCAAAAGTATTGGCTGGTTGTATCGATTAATTACATTAATGCTCAAAGAAAAATGGTTAGAAAAACAATTAGGCTAACCTTTGCAAATTATAAAAGAGAGATTGCCATAAACAAAACAAAAAAAGTGTAAAAATGACTCCAAAATTACATTTGCTATTAGCACTTTCAAAATTAATATTTCGGCAAATTAAAGTTGAAACAGAACTTGATCCCGATATTCCCCACTAAAGAAACAAGAAACCACCAAAGTCTACGTTTAAAATTCAAGATGCAATTATAGAAAATGACAAAAATTAATATAATCAAAATGCATATAACAATAAAGAACAATAACCAGAATCATGCTTTAGCTGCAAGATCCCCACGATTTAAATTTCAAACACGACACAAAAACAAAAGCAAAACACAAACAAAAACAAAGTTGGTCCCAAAGAACAAATCTTGCTTAAGCAAGCATCACACAACAGTTCAGAATAAAATGGTTAAGACGAACGCCACGGCAACAACGCTTACACTCCTCCCAAACAATCTCTTCCACATCCGGGCGACATTTGTAAACCGTCATTGACTGAGACTGAGGTCGAGCAGACGAAGCTCCGATCACCAAAAGTTCATCTCCAACCGACTTAAACGCAACGCCCCAACCTCTGGTGAAATGTGCTCCCACAGGTACAACTCCAAGTTTCTTCCAAGCGTTTGCATTTACATCATAAACATGGAGCTCGTTCAAAGATGTTTCTAGCAAATAGAGGTTATCATTGACCACTGCGATACGCGGCGGCGCTTGGGAAAACAAGACAGGCATATCTTTAAGCATGTTTGGAATCAGCTCCCAAGAATCTGTTACCTCGTTGTAACTTTCTGCACAAGTTAGGTATTCATCGTTTTCATTCTGACCGCCGAGAACATAAAACTTACCACGTAAGAAAAATCCTGAACATAACTTCCTTCGCTTATGCATGGCATGAATCGCTGTCCAGGTTTTTGTTTCGGCATTGTACTTCTCTGCTATGCTCACAACTTCGTAACTGTTTTTATCTATCTTAACTCCTCCAGCAAAAAATGCATTTGTCCCATGGCTCGCAGAACCAAACATGACCCGTGGTGTGATCATTGCAGGACCTTTGACCCATTTTTGCATCTCTAGCTCGAACCGCCACACTGTAATGCCCTCAACCTCCTTCCCAATGACGATTAGTTGCGTACCCACACTAGTAACTTCCTTATCACCATTGAAGAAACAAATGTTAGAAGAGAGTTTCGGAAGTTTCAGGAAACTTTCGAAGTCCTTATCAAACATAGTCCAACGATTAGCACCACTTGATAGCAAAAATAGATATGGTTTCACTAATCCGAGCTTTTGCCTCATCCTGAAAATCTCACTGCTTTTTAGCAATTGTGAAAACCGTTTGTTGAGAAATTGTAGTTTCCAATACTCAGAGCACGGAACACGTGCAAAGATCTCAACATAAAGCTCGTTCAAGAGCTGAGGAGCAACATAACATTCATCATGAGATATTAAACATGTAATAGGCTTTTGTGTCGTTTCTTCTGTTTCTCCAATTTCTTCTTCTTCCGAATCAGAAGAAGAATCTGCATTCATGTCGAGGATAATAGGCATAGTGCCTATAATCAAAAGCTTTTTCATTGGTTGGGATTGCCTTAAGATTGACATCACTATATATCTGTAACAAACCACACACAAACATTTACAATTTAGACAGATTAAGTGAAAAAGACTTGGTCATATATATATAGTGAAGAACAAAAGACCATGTCTCTATCTTTTTTTTTTTTTTTTTGGTCAAAACCATGTCTCTATCTTATTAATAAAAGAATCGAGTGAATCTATCATCAATTAACACACTTCTTCAAAGTTACTTTTACATAAATTATCAATAAATAAGTATGCCCAATCTATGATAAATTTAGATAAAGTAATTCATTTGTTAAATTTTCCAGAATTTGTGCATTACAATTTCTTTTAACCAAAAAAACATTACAATCTCTAAATATTTTTATCTTATAATTAGAACGAGTTGATTATTAAGAATTTAAGATTGTAAAAATCAAACAAAAACAAATTAACATATCACACTATCCTTCTATGCAAACTCGAAACCTATTAACATTTGTATTATTAAATCTTTTAATAAAAGTAATCGCATGATTAATTAATGAATTTATTAGAATTATGTAGCGGTTATACCTGGAAAGCGATGATACTACTGGACTCACAAAATATGGTGTATATAGCGCCGGCAATAATATAAACTTCTAAACAAGAACTACTGGATTATATAGTATATAGTGCTTTAAAATTTCTACCATAATGGTAATTTTCTTTTATTAAACTTTCTACCATAATGTGTAGTTTTTAGTCAAAATTAAATGTTTTAAGTGATTTTGACTTATATTATAGTAGATTTATTAAGTGAGAGTTATTGATAATTTAGGTGACAACATTTTTTTGACTATATGTTTTCAATTTAAGTCAAGTTATTTAATCTAGAGTTATTTTCTTGTTTAGAAATAAATGCACCGAAAATTTTATGACCAAAATAAATGGAAGAAAAACTAAGGAAGTAGCATTTGAATTAAAAAGTTAAGCAAATGATAAATTGGGTGTATGAATTGATCGAAATAAGGGAAAGTGAGGCTTTAGCCTGTACGTTGGCTCAGGTTCAGGACACAGAATGGTCATAGATAGCTCATGTAATGAGATCAGCAATTTCTCAGGATTGGTTTTTTTTTTTGTCTAAAGGATTAGGTTTTTTTTTTGTTCTTAGGATGGTGATACAGGAACTTTAATGGGAGACAGAAATTTCTCTCATTTCACATGGAATTAAAAACTCTCATATGGAATATGATGTGCTTAGTGAAATCACCGAGGATGAAAGTGGTCTTTAATAATCAACTACTTCGAACTAGTGTGGATTGTCTTTTTCCACAAAGTAGCATGTTTTCTTACGGATATGAACGAGTTTGTGAGGGTAAATGATACGTTTTTTTTCTTCTCTATCTTCTAAACAAGTTGATTCTTGCGGATTGTTGAGTGTGGAGTGTTAAATGTCAAATATGTCAAAATCTCGGCGAAAAATATGTCAAATATGTTAAATCCTGACATATTTGATCATAATATGGTTAAGTTTGTTAAATGTCAAATATGTCAAAATATCGGCGACAAAATTGTGTATACTATGTGTTAGAGACAATTTTGATGCAAATGCATAGGATCCCACATCTATATGATACATGCATGGACAATGGATCGTATAATATGGGTCTTTACATGGTTGCACCAACGTCAAAGGTTAAAGGTTGATCTCCGGGATCACGCATTATGCACGTCACACCTCTGAATACACTCATCACATCTTTAGGTACATAACCGCTCATAACCATTTGCGCATAAGACAAATTGTTTATCAGATTTTATAGATAATATAAATCAATATATAATTTCTTAATTACAAATATTTATATACTAAAATTGATTATATGTATAACAGTGATACGTATAATTAATATAATCTCCCTTATTCGATTCTCACACAACTTGAACCTCTTCTATATATTTCTAGGATCAGCACATTTAGCTCAGTTAACTGGTTTAGCTCAAGTTTTTGAAATCTCATTCTTTTTAGCTAAGTCATCCAATTCGTTCTTCTTCGTTCATGACCAAGCCATATGATTATCTCATTAACCATGATTAAGTTATTCAATCTTTGTCACGATCATAACTTAGACCATCAACCATTTAATCATTGATCTATCGGTTAATTCATCTAAATCATGACTTAGTTTGATCCCTTGTTCATTCGATCATATTAACATTATCTTTGTTATTTAGCCATTTAACCATTCATCTCCACTTGACTAAATTTACTCAAATCATTCTAACTTGTTCTTTAATCATTCCGATAGTTCGAACGAAATAATTCGATCATGCATATTTCGACCATGCTTCGTTTTTTTTGCTTAAATAAATTGTCATGATGTCTCTACAAATAATTTGACTAAATCAGATTAGTTGAGATTTTTTTTTATTAGTGTGAGTTTTTTAGTGGCCTGCCATTTCGCTAACGGGCTCAGAATTCAAATTATACGCACATACGAGCCCAAATACTAATACGTCACCGTTTCAACAACTCAGGTCGATCTCTCATCTTCTCTGTTAAACGAGAGAGAGAGAGATAGGTTTTAGGGTTTTTTTTTTCTGTTTCTGCAGCAATGGCGTCGAGAAATGCTCTGCTTAAATACCTCAGAATCAATGTCACACCTTCTCTTCAAAGATCCAGCGTCACTTCTCATCAATCCGTAGCTCCCTTCTACGTTCTTCTTCGTCGTTTCTCCGACGAAGTCAGAGGGTCCTTCCTCGATAAATCCGAAGTCACAGATCGTGTTGTCTCTGTCGTTAAGAATTTCCAGAAAGTAGAGCCTTCTAAGGTAAGATTTTAAGATTATTTCCTCTCGTTGTTTTTGTTGTTTAAATCTTCCACCACCACCGATTTTGAACCCTTGAGGTTGATTTTCGATTTGAAACTAGAAATGAAGAATTTGATTGAATTTGATACATTACATTGTCATAGATAGGCATTGATTTGATGATGGAAGCTGAAAGCTTAGTGCCAATTTCATGTGAATTATTGAAATTGTAATCGAAGGCAAAATAACATTTGGAACAGATAGATTCTGTAACCATGTTTACTCATGATTCCAGATAATTAACCACAAGATCCTCCTTTTGATTTTTCTATTTCTATCATTTCCTGTTTTCAAAACCATACAAAATTAGAGAATATACAACATTTGCTTGTCTTAATAAGCATTTTCTTTGATTATGGTTTTGTATTTCAAGAATGGCTAATAGCTTTCGATGCTGATCTTGATTTAGTTCTTTGTTTACTATTTGAATCAGCTACTTGAATTTGAAGTTATGGCATGCTCTATGTATCTGAAGCATAGATAGATAGTTGTTTGATTCGATAAGATCCTCCTTTCGATTTTTCTGTATCTATCATTTGCTGTTTTCTAACTGAACCAGACAGCATTAGAGAACATACTACATTAGCTTGTCTCTGTCTCTTTGAATCTTGAATAGCATTTTCTTTGATTATTGTAGACAATGGTTGTGTTTGTCAAGAATGGATAATGGCTTGCGATAGTGATCTTACTTTAGTTCTTTGTTTACTCTTTGAATCAGCTACTTGAATTGGAAGTTATGTCTTTAACCTAATCTAATCATTTGTTTACAATACTTTACATGTACCTGAGGCCTCTGCTTCTATGTTGAACTCTCTGCTCTGAATTCGCCATTACTTAGTCAAATCCGAGGAAGTATAGATAGATAGTTGTTTGATTCCGATAAGCTAAGTGCGATTCATGATGTTGCAGGTGACACCAAAGGCACATTTCCAGAATGATCTAGGGTTAGATAGTTTAAATGATCTAGGGTTCTATCCTTTCTTGTTATCAAACTGAACCAGACAACATTAGAGAACATAACTACTTTTGCTTGTCTTTGAATATTGTTCAGGAGTTTCTTTGTATACTGATCTTAGTTTAGTTCTTTATTTACTCTTTTGAATCAGCTTCTTGAATTGCAAGTTATGGCATGTTCAATGTCTCTAACCTAATCTAATCATTTGGTTACATGCACCTTGGCCTCTGCTTACTCACTGTTCCCGATTTGCCATTACTGAAATCCGAGGAATATTTATTTGATTCTCCGATAAGTTAAGTGCGATTCATTGGTGTTGACAGGTGACACCAAAGGCACATTTTCAGAATGATCTAGGGTTGGATAGTTTGGACACAGTGGAAGTGGTTATGGCACTTGAAGAGGAGTTTGGATTCGAGATACCCGATAACGAAGCAGATAAGATACAATCCATCGAACTTGCTGTTGAGTTCATCGCTTCGCATCCTCAGGCAAAATGATGCGACCTAGAAAATATTCAACGGACTTGACTTGAAGCGTGGTCGTCATAATAATAAAGAAAATCAAACATGTTTGTCTTTCCTAGAATGATACCGTTTCCCAATTTTTCTAGTGTTTGTTGATGCATCTTGAAACGTGATTCTTTTGCTTTAAGCATCGTATTGAGAATAAGAAGATTGTAATTATGTTTTGAGGTTAATTTATATGGTGAGAATGGAATAACAAATGGAGTTAATCTGCGGCTAACGTGCTTTTCCTTATCTATATTAAAATAGAAGCACATTTAGTACTTGCTTTCAAATACTCCTAATTTTTTTTAAGCGTTTAAAAACAATTTAATAATTATTTATATTTAATTTTGAAAATTAGTTATTAATTTAAATATTTTTAGAGTTCCTAGGTAATTTAGATTTGATTTGATTTGATTAAAAATAATAAATCAGATATTAATTTTGTGACTAAAAAAAAAAAATCAGATATTAATTTAGATTTGATTTAAAGATTCTAATTTAAATAATTTCTATACTATTAAACATTTTTATCAAAAATATGTAGAATTTTGAAAAAAAAATAATTCACATATGAAAAATAATGGTCATATTTGAAATATAAAATATTTATAATGATGTAAATGATATGATATTTATGTTGCTTATATAATATATTTACGATTATGATTTATTTACAAATTAATAATAAAATAATAGGTAAAATTCAAATGTATAATTTAAATATTAAAAATATATTTTTTAAAATTCATAGAACTAAAAATATATATAAAAACAGGATTAAAAATATTTTGGTAACTAAAATCACTAATTTTGAATTATACATGTATTTCGAAAATATATTTTTCATACAAAATAAAAACATCAAAAAATTAAAAATTATTGCATACACTAAAATATGGTTTGAAAAGCCAGTTGTACACTCCCTTCGTTGATTAAATTTTAGAAAACTATAATGCTAAATAATACTGTTAATACATCTCAAACTTTTAACAAATATTTATATTATACGGTAATATGAACGGAAAAGTTAGAATTATGTTTTTATAATAGTTCATTTTGAATTAATATTAGCGGACGGGTTAAAATTATATTTTTATAATCATAATTAATTTTAATACTATAAAAATATATCTAAACACAAAAATCAATATTTTCACTTATTAAAAATATATTTATAAAAATAATTATATCTAAACTCAAAAACACAAATTATATTACAAAATTCGTTAAACAATAAAAAATATTCCTGTGCGGATGCACGGGGTTAGAATCTACTTACCATTAAAAACGCTATCTGTTTTGGTTGTTCACTTGTTCTACAGTTTTTTTATATAAAAAAATTATCTGTTTATTTGATCGTTTATAAGTTTCTACTAGATTTTATCCAATGCGCAATTATTTTAAAATTTTTTAATTAATGATAAAGATTTTTTTATTTATATAATTTATTTCTATTAATTTATTTTTTCTAATATTATATATGATTACAATTAGAAAACATTATATAAAAGTAAAAATAAAAATATTATTCTAATTTGTGTGTTTATATTAATCTAAAAAATATCACTATTATAAAAATGTCATTATAATATGCTCAATTTATATTAATCCGAAAAGACTGTGATTGTTAAAACATAATTCTAACCCGTCTGTTCATAATATTTGTATATTTCAAATATTTATTAAATTTAAATATTTAAAAATTTTAGACTTATTTAATAAAAATATACAATAATATATTACTTTCTTCTTTATCGTTAAAAATATTATTTAAATATTTAAATTAAATCTAAATTAATATCTGATTTATTATTTTTGTAAAGATATAATAATAACTTATTTTATGATTTTTGATAAACAATATAACTTATATTTAAGAAAATCTATAACAACTCTAAATTTATGTTTAAGTTTTCGGATTTAAATTAAAATATAAATTTAAAAATATATAGTATTTTAATTATATTACATTAAATTGATTTGTTTGGCAACAGAAATAGCAATTATTCAAAAACAGAATAATCTTAAATGAAGAAAATTCTGTTTGGATACAAAAAAAAAGTGATTCCCTTTTAATAGTATAGAAGTATAGATGCAAAATTTAAGGGTGAATTATTTGAATCAAAGAATTAGACATATAGCATATAAAAGTAATAGTCAATTTTCAGAAAGATATCAAAACAAACTTGTGCACATGAATCTGCAAAAATTGTAACATTTTATTTTTCTTATATCACTAAAAGACAAAACAGACAAAACAGACAAAACAGACAAATCATATGTTTCTCCTTTTTAACAAATTAGATGGCTATTACAGCAAACTAAAAGTAGGCTTAGAATTATTATCAGGTATCCGGTCTCCGATCCAGTATTCGTTCCGATCCGATCCGTAAAAACGAATATCCGTGTAGTTCGGATACGAATTCGGATAGTAAAATTAAGTATTCGATTATTCTGGATACGGATCCAGATAATAGAAAATTTGAAAACGGATATCTGTTATCCCATATCCGTTTGTTAAGTATTTATTTATTTTTGATAATATTTTTTTTTTAAATTAACTTTGTTATATTAGAATTTAACTTTTCAAAAATCAACATTCACCTATGTTTATTAAAAATTAACTTTATAATCAGATATTCATTTTAATTATCTATGTTATTTCATTATAATTAAAATCAACAAAACCGGATATCTGGTCGAATATCCATAAATATTCAGTTCATATCCGGTCTACGGATATCCGGAGTTGTCAGATCCGGATCCGGATAATAAAATTGATTATTCGGCGGATACGGATGCGGCTCTGGATACCTTGAAAAGTCCGGATAGTTAGGCCTAACTAAAAGAAATGACTATTTTTCTCTCTCTATTAACAAACCAAATAACTATAACTATAATGTAAATGTTAGAGTAAATTTGTTTGAAGCATTAAAGCATTATAATTATTTTAATGTATCTTTTCAAAGATTTTCTTTCTGTTCTTTCAGGACAAAAAGGATAGACATCCCCTGTAAGGAGTAATTGTAGCCGAACGTACTACATTTACAGGAATATACTGTTTTAGGAGAGATTCTTTTGTGGCAAGAATGCTACTCTTTGTCATTTTGTCACCAGAAGGAGTAGATGGATTTGAAATTTGTACCTGCATAGTAGATGTTGCAGTAATAGATTTATTAGATCCTTTAACAACAACAGAGGTTGGTTTCGCAGATGAGTGATTTGGAATCGTGTTGTCAACCTTTTTGACCGGAGTATAAGCAACTGCCAAAGGCTCTGCTCTAACATTTTATTTTTTCTTTGAAAGAGCAGTGGGACCTTTATGCTTTGCATTCGGAGGAGGGACTTCAAGAGGTACACTGAGGCAATTTCTGATTATGTGACCCAACTCCTTACAATTGGACATACAGCCAAATACGACCTAAGCATATACCATCAGACCTCAAATCCATTAGATTTGGGAGATTCGGCATGAAATGCCACCTGTTCTCAGGCCAATTATGTTGGATCTCAAACCGACTTACAAAACCAATAACCCAAGGTCTGAAACCGGAAAACTTTATAAATACTTAACTTTAACTTTTTCCAACGAAAAGAAAGTTTAATTTTATTGGTTTTTGCAAAACCAATAACTCATATGTTATCTTTCTAGATACTCGTAACTCAAAAGGTTTAGCACTCTCATTTTCCGATCATCATTTCGACCACTTCTATTCCACTCCACGCTGATTCCTAAATCGTGGAGTATTTTCACACACAAACTCTTACACTTTTTCTCTTTTCCACCTCAAATAACCCACTAAACTCATACACGTGTAGACTCATCCCTTTCTAAGAGCTCACGACCCACTTTTCTTTCCGTTCTTCGATCTTCTTTTCCTATTTCCGATTTGTCACTTTGTGATATTTTCTTGTCATTTTCTGACTTGAGCATTGTCATCGGAAAACACTTCATCATCGTGTTCTCCGAAACTTTACGTTTTCTTTTATTTTGTAAAAGACTTGCCCACAAGAAGACCAAAAATCCATATGAATAAAATCTAGTTTTGCAGTATATGTGTAATTTGTTGGGCTGGTTTTAGTTATATATTAATTTAGTTTTGACGAATTCTTGCTTTTAACTTTGTTCTTAATTAAAACTTCTTTTTTTTTGTCCCATGAAAACCTTCATGTCACTGGATTTTTATTCATATTATTACAAACATAATATGTTTATCTTATATCTTGAAACTCAGTATCAAACTGCCTACATTTCACTACTAATCCGTGAAAAACTGTGTACAGGTTACAAGATGTATATGACTCATTTTTGGAGATGATACTGAGAAAGGAAGTTTTGATATGAAGAAGATCGATCTTGCCATTCAGAGAGGAGCGTCTTGGGCGTAAGCAAAGCTTTTGTATCAAAATTCACATTCCGTTCTTCGAAGTAAATCTCGACCGGACACATATCATCCAACACCTCAAGCCTTGCACTCCCTTCACCATCAGCATTGTCTTTACAATGACGCACTTTGGAGATAAACGTAGTGAGTTCTTGATCTTGCTTGTTTGAATCAGATGGCTTTGTGATCGGAGAATAAGCAATGAACCGCTTCTTCTCCTGCTGTGAATAGTTTTCGACCCACATGTCATCGCCAAGTGAAATGATTGTCTCGTCTACACCTGAGTTTGCCATCTCATAGGCTGCTTTGGATATTTGGTTGCACCGGTCAGAGAACTCCACATCTGGTGAGTACTCTTCTTCTTCTGAGTTTAATGTGAGGAGGACTGGAAGTGGAAGAACAGGACCAACGAGCTCAGGACCGGGTTGCTCCTTCTTTGACCATTTGCTACTTCGGCTTGAAGGTTTCCTGAGGAGGAAAGGTGGTAATTGTGGGGTTTCAGGAACAACTAAGAACTCAAGAGATGGTTTCTTCTTGTCTATCAGAACACCTTCAAACTCAGAGTAGTTTGAGAATGCAAGCATCAAAAGCTCCATACGTAACATTGACCAGGTTTCTTTTACTGCAATCTCAAAAACGCTTGTTTGTGAGTTGATACATTCGAAGACTGCAGTAATGGAAGAATAACATTTGTCTCTACTGAATCCGCAAATCTTCAACTTCTCGCATAAGTCCTCGTGGTAGGCTAAGTTAAAAGAATCACTCTCCTTCGAAT